TGATTTGATTTGTTTTCGAGATAATGTCATTCGACAGTTGTTGCTGGTAATAACGATTTCGATTCTTTTCGATCGTCGACCACGAAAAGTCGTTTCCATCAGCAAATAAATCTTTCAATATGAAAATCACAAGACATAGAAAAGATTGTGAGGATGAATGATGCACATCTTACTGAGATTTGACCAAGGTAGTTCTAGATCAGCATCATAATCTTGAGGAAACGATGTTGCACGTACAAAATCAGCATCTAACACCATCATTCTCTCTTGCAATGGACCGTTCACTGCCTACAACGCAGCTCGTGAGTATAGCGCAATCTAGGGTGAACAAAACACGTCACTTACTGTTAGCACATTCGAAGCACACTGCATTAGCAGAGTGGCGATTGCACTTGTGTCCTCTGGTGTCATCTCTCTTGTCAACGAGGACAGTGCCATTGTCAACTTATAACATCGATCTATTGCAATTGTCTATTGTCGATACATTCAACATCGTGATTGGCTGATTTTCGAACGAGAAACAAATAGTCTTACCAGAATGTTTCTTGTTAGTTGATTTGTTGTCTTGGTCAATTGCACAATGGCTGATGCTTGTAACTGGATACTCTTGGATGTTGTGATAGGCAGATTTGGAATGAATCTCATCAAGTATTCTCGAGCTTGTGCATACGAGTTGACTTCATTCTTGTACGCATTCAATGCAGTCACATTCAGTGCTACTGAGTTCTAGTATGCAGAAATCAACCGTTAGACTAATTCGAAAGCAAAAGCAAAAGAAAGTGCTCTACTTGTCGTGAACTGGAACTTCCCAAATGTGACACTGAGATACTTGTTGATGGTACACCATCTAGATCGGAGCACAAGGATCATCTGTTGATCAGTTATGTGACAACAACTCACTTGAAATAGCTTTCGTCATGTTTTCATCACTGATTCTGTTGAACTCATTCGAAAGCAGAGTAATCACTTGCCCGACAACATTCTGATTTTCACTGCCCAGTAACTGAGCAAACGAGCTGTCAATGATTTCGAGATTCGAAACGTTTTGCACACTTTTGATAAAGTCGTTCATTTCGCTCCAATCAGACTGAACAGAAATCGATGATGACAGATTGTATGTTGTCAAACAATCATGCTCATCACGAATCTCAACTATCAGATGCACTTCATATGTTGGATCATCACCTGATGGCAACTGGACTTGGAATGTTGACATCGATGAGTATGCGATGAGAGTTTGTTTCGATGGATCACTCGTCCAGACTAAACATTCATACGAGAATCAATTATCTATTGCACACCTTCACCCTCACTTACTGAAAAGTGAATAGTCTTTGATGCCATCACTATCAAACCAGTCTGAACATGTCACGTCGAACAGGGGCGTTGTCATACCATTAGGTGGATCGATGGAACACGAGCCATTGTTCGGCGACTGATTGATGATGAAATCCAATGAGCTCGAACTGATGCCAGCGGTGAATGTGTACACTACTTCGAATCTCCACAATGTCCAGTGTGCATAGGTGGAAAACAGCTGACTTGTTGATGTGAAGTTCGTTGTGTCCATGCCAAAGAACCAACTATTGGTATAGCGACTTGTGTGATTGAAGAGATACCACTGGGTGATNTTTCGAAATACGACATACGATCAAAACACAATTTTCTTCTCTTCGTTTCTATTATAGTCACTGCAAACAGCACAGATGGTTTTTACTATATCTGCTCTATTTCATAATTAAAACAAGAAAAGAAATAATTTCCTTTTTTGTGTACTCAAAAAGTGAGTACCGTACTAAAATTGATCAGTGAGTCCGGTTGTATGTTTATCCGATAACTCTTAAACAGCCTGAGCAATTGACTAGGATTTTTCTTCCGCAGGTTTGTCTCATAAGGAGTGTGGGTGCCGCAGCGAGATCGTCAAAACGGAGGCGATGAGCAGTCTGTTACATTGTGCACCTCGAGAGCACACCCTCTAAAACTTGAGTAATTGAATTCTCAGTCTAAAAGATTTAGAATTCGAATGAAAGTTTCAATACTGGACTTGGATCAACGATTTCTACACTACTCTGAGAGACAATAAATTCAGTTCAAACCACTCACAAATTTGAAAATTCAAAGATTTTCAAAGTGGCGATTACGGTAGATGTTCAGCCGCGATGAACATCTCTCATCCTAGAAGAGGATTCATGCAATAAAAATTTCTATAGAATATTGTGAAGAATATTTGAAGCATTTCATATTAAAAGATCAGCGAACTGTTGTTTCTGTGAATAAATATTTAAAATTCTGAGAACTTATTGGCTGATCTATGTACGATAAAGATTTAGAAAAATCTCCAACTCTGAAAATATATTGGTTAGAAGACATTGATACACAAATACCTGTTATATATATAAAAGAACTTGTTTGGCTTTTATTGTCCGAACATAAACTGTCGTTTCTTTATTGTTGCAATTCTCAAATTACTTCGGAATGAAATGTATGGAAAAGAAAATATTTCATATGAAATATTGCCAGTAACTGAGCATATGTGCTCCTTCTCTGTAAAAAATACCGGGTCATAAGGAACTATCTAAGGTTCTAGCATAAATTCCGAACTTTTTAAGGTTTCATTCGTTTAACAATAAACCATCAAAAGGTTTTAGATAATTTAAAAAACTATTTGAGAAAACCAAATGGTTTGGTAAACCCAAAAGGGTTTTAGTTTGCACTACTTTTCCAAATACGGAATCTTCACAGATAAAAAATGCTTCCAGACACTTGAAAGGGTTCCATAGACGTGAAAAGAGTTCTATGCCGAACCATTTTTACCTATAGGGTTGCATCACTAAATTAACATAATGGAAGCCATGAAAAAAAGCTTTTACATTGAACCATCTTTCATTCTAATACTTATTGGTGGGTTAAAATGATGCTATATCGAACCTTCACACTCATTGTAAAGATTTAAAGCTGGTAGGAAATAGTTCACTTCAAAACCATTTTGTTTACGTTTTTCTTCGCTTATAAGAAGCTGTTTCAATACGAGTCTCAGACCTTCAGTCCGAACAGAAGTCGTGAGACGAATTCTCCGCGCACTATCCATTTCAAAANGTTTCTTTGGGTAGTCGAATGAATAGAAGATCATGACTGTAGAAGCGACAATAAAAGAAAACCCAATCGTTCAGTTTGGAAGTTGATCAAAGGCGAAAGGAATAACAGAGACAGCATGGCAACGGCTAGCCGTGAGTGACCGACCGGAGGGAGGTCGACGAACGACTAGGCGTTTAAATGCTAGATTAATCCTAAAGTGTACGCTTAGAATAACCTTGCCAAGCTTCTGATAGCTTTGAAAGGGATGTGACGAATGGATATTCCTCAATGAAAATATTCGACAAGGTATGATTTTGTTGACAGGAGAGAAAAGAATCGGTTTATCGCTGGACGACACAGGCGAATGTTTAAACTTTTCAAGTAGTCTACTGTATATCATCCGTCTATGAGTGACTTAGTAAAGCATTTATGAAAATTTCCATAGGCGCGATGTGAAAATAGAAAAACAGATGACAAAGGTCAATGGTTGGCCGTGAGTGGCCGTCTGACTAGCCGTTGAGCGATGAATTTTCCACTCAACATAGTTAGTGCTGGAGAATTATCCACTGACAAATGGCTAATCGGTCTGATTCCTAAAAAGACTTTTGCATCATATTCATTCTAGTGTGTGACATGATTCAGTTTAGCACTAGTAGCAATCGCAGTGCGTTTTTTCTCTTTCGAAGCTTCTGAATGTGTTCAGCATTCGGAAAAGTCTTTCAGAAAAGGATCAGCGAATCCAAAGGATGAGCGTTACTTGTAGGTTTCATCCATGTTTGCTTTCGTTCGATTCTCAATAGTTTCGACCGATCGTTTATTTGCGCATATTAAATAGAATTGAGAACAGAGATCTATGTATGCTTTCCTCTTGGACAAATAAGAGCACGTTTTATTTGAACTGATGGAATCCAATAAAATCCTACAGAATATTTTTTCAGTTTGTTCCAAACCAGTTCAGCAGAACAGAATTTTTTGCGAAAAATCCTCCCTTATGGTAACATAAACAATGCCACTTTTGCCGACCTATTTATTTTCTTCGCTTCTTTCTCCGATAATACTACATTCAATAGAAACAACTTTCCTCTTTTTCTAGAACTTATATCGGCGTATAAATAACTCATCTTGCAATACAACTATCAGCGAATTTTTCATGCGGATAATGTATTCTCGTGCTTACTTAGAGTATCGTCGTGCATAAATGATACTTAAACAACACAGTAACATAAATTATTCGTTTACGAACCAGATATTTCAAGTGTTACAGCTTCGGTTAAATAAACTCTTTGCATTGGTTCGAAAGGCAGATGCGATTAAAGAGTAAATGTAAAAACTACTGCAAGTATGAGTAAAACCGACGATATAAACGAACGAGGAAACAACATTTTCTGTAACTCTTTGTAAGGGAGTTTTCTCCCAACGTAACGTAATGGTAGCATATAGATTGTAAAGAAAAACGGAGAATGCTGATAATAAGTAACATAGAATTTGAAAAATAAGCATTTAGGTGTTGCTGACGAATGGAAACAGTTACTTGATGATGTTGAACATTGATACGTTTCAGATTTCGATAAGTGAGCTAGCCGAAACTTGAAAGAATACTGAATGGTACAAATGTCTGAAGAAAAAGCCCAATGAGACAAACGGTATAATAATAGGACAGGAGGGAATCTACGCGAAACAGATCGAGTACTGTTGATTGATACGATAATAAATACTGTCTGGTAGATGTGGAAACATTTATGGAAATGAAGAAGAAACAATTGATATGATTGCTATTTTCATTGAACTTCGTTCTCACCAGGAGGCTTCACGAGAAGTGATATGATAGCGATCAATCGAAGCTAAGCAGAGCATACTACTAGTCAACAGGGACAAGTAATTCGCTAGATATGGGTTTAGTTTACACCATAAATTCCGAGATTCAGTACCATTTTTACCGGTGATATAGTAGATAATATTCGGAGGGAGAAATAGAAACAAAATGAGTATATCAGATGTTTGTGCTACGAGCAAATATAATAAACAGGGATTACTTCTTGATTTAATTGTGAATATGAAAATATTGAATGTATTACCAATGAGATTAACAACGAACATCAATGAATAACCATACAGTTTAGTATGTTTTGCAATGTTGTTGATATCATCGACATGAGAACTTGCTTCAGTCATGTTCAGAGGATCAAATGAAAATTTTTTTTCTATAGAAATATTTATTTTAACAAAAAATAATTATTTCTTTTCGGTTTTAGTCTGTCACGAATCAAGGATTAAATAGTTGACTTTGAAAGAATGTCTTTCGAGTTCGATTTATGCTTCCTGTTGTCACTCGAATTCTATATGCAAATAGCAATACTAAATCAAGATGACATCAATTTTCCCGATACTCTTCAACTTGGACTGTATCTCACCATTGGTATATTCTAAATTACTCGCAGTGCACTTTTGGAACGTTACGGTCAGCGAGTGCAACATTAATCTTCGGGATGTGATCATAAGAGAAAGTGCAAGTATGCAACGCTATCTATTGAGCCATTCACGAAAGGTTCCTATAGTTAGCAACAAAGATTTCACCATCATTGCACAAATCACGGCAATTACACGAGAATTACACCATCGCAAAAGTACTGACGGTAAGTTTTTAATATAAAGAGTGTGAAACACGGTATACAAAGTAATTTTGTCAAGAGTTGAGTCGGTAAGTTTTTCAGATACATAAACATGATGATGTGTTTAGTTAAATTGATTACATCTAATTGAAAACATATAAACAGATTAGATTCTTTTGGCAAATGTCGACGAGTACAACACCAAACGAACAGGAACTGGTAATTGATTACAATCATGATGATTTATATGAAGGCAATACAAAAATCAGTTATATGCATCTCGAAAAAGGTCTCCTTCTCTTTGTTTATTTACACGAAACAAGTTCTATTCTAAAGGCCAACGCTCGTATTTACAAAAAACTATGGACTGGTCAGATATGTTATCATTCTATTGTTCCAAACAACTTTCACGATCCATATTTCTGTTCATTTGATCATTCTGAAGCGTACAAACAACCGAATCTATGTAGAAATTGGTATACGCGTAGTTGTACTCAGATGTCGTGTGAAAATCAGCACTATTTAATATGAATTAANGAGATTGAAAACATCTATGCTTTTCATTATACAAGGAGTTTCTTTAATAAACATCGCATGCTTATGAGAGAAAAATGCGCATATGTTTTTCTTTTTCATTCCTTCTTTTTCTTCCGAGAGAAAACCCACTTTGAAGTATGACTTATAGTTGGAAGACTCCAGTTTATACGCAGAATCATCTTGTTGCTACACGTTTATTTAGGCAAGAAACGAAAAAAAAAGCTGTAACTATTGAAGCTCTCGCTTTTCCACTACATCGCGCAGTATAATTCGAAATTGTGGACATCGCATTTCTACAATAATCTGACTTTTTTTCAGATATGGAGACAAATGACGAGTGTAGTTTGTGCGGCAAAAAGATTCAAGAAGGGGAAACCATAAAGACGATGGTAAATGGTCTGCTCGGCCATCAAGCGTGTCTAAAAAAAACTTTCGTAAGCAAAATAATCTTGTAAATGTGCTTGTCAGAACTATTCATATTTTCTGATTCTTTTAGGATATCCCTACGCAAGTGTACAACCCAAACGAAGTCAGAAATCTGCTGAGTTCAAGTGAACCCACTCTGCATACAATACAGATAGACGAAAATCATTGGAAATGCAAAGATTGTTCGACGCAAAATGTCAACCCAACTAGACGATGCGGAGGGTGTGGTAAAACGCGATCTAATCAAAATACATCTGGCAGTAGTGCGTGGAACACGGCACTAAACGAGGAAGAATATGGGTCCACATCGGCACCCGGTGCACCAAAAACTTCTGAACGATACCTGCCTGCAAAATCATACATGTAAAAGTCGAAGAGACTATTCGAGTATTAAACTTTCAATTCGAGTACTCGAGTTTTAAACTTATAAATCCATAATTCAAAGTTTCGAAGTATCCACTTACCAACCCGTCAGTGATTAATCGTAAATCGTTGAATGACTTATTCTTAACTATTATGTAACAGTTAATTAGATATTTACCAAGCAATTACTTATTATCAATCAACCGACTATCAAGTAATCGGCATATGACTATTAAATACTACATAATCATTTATTAACTATAAGACTATCAGTTATCAGCAACTAACGGTAACGAATGCCGTTCACATTGACCCTGGCTGTGCCGTTGTAGGCTGCACCCACACCCTCAAGATAATCAGTTAGTTAATAATTCCTAATGAGTTAGCTAGTATATGATAGGTAGTTAATCATTTAATAATTAGCATTTAGTTAGTGGATGTTTAATAGCCAATTAGTTAAAAGTTTGAAACTCGAGTACTCGAATTCTAAATTTAGAAGTTTAAAACTCGAACTGAAAGTTTAATACTCGAATAGTCTCTTCGACTTTTATATATATATCTAGGGCAGGATATCATTTCTTGATATCTTTAGAAACACATTCATAAGATAAAGAAGTTCATCCAGGTACAGAGAAACAAGTGGTATATGAAGTAAACTTTATTTGTTAGAAAAAGACGTCTCACCATATAACATTTAAATCAACTCAAAAGAATGAATTCTTCTAATACACAAAAGAGAAAAGAATTGAAAGTAATGGTACAAAACGAATATAAAACGAAAAAAAAAAATGAAATTTCATTGTCCTGCCTCATTTCTACCGCATAAAATGTGCATGAAAAATAGTAGACTTCAATAGCCATTCAATAAAAAGAAAACGAGAATGCTTCATATATTCATGAAAACAAGACAAAGACAAATAGACGGCTATATACTGTACTATATACCTTCGAAAAAGCTGACTGTTGTATTTATAAAGGATAAATATACGTGAAAATCAATAAATTTAAGCTATTTTCTAAAAAAATTGAATCGCCTCGAAAAGGGTTAATCTTCGTGATGTGATCATAAGAGAAAGTGCAAGTATGCAACGCTATCTATTGAGCCATTCACGAAAGGTTCCGATAGTTACCAACAAAGATTTCACCATCATTGCACAAATCACGGCAATTACACGAGAATTACACCATCGCAAAAGTACTGACGGTAAGTTTTTAATATAAAGAGTGTGAAACACGATATACAAAGTAATTTTCTCAAGAGTTGAGTCGGTAAGTTTTTCAGATACGTAAATATGACAATGTGTTTAGTTGAATTGACTACATCTAATTAAAAACATATAAACAGATTAGATCTTTTTGGCAAATGTCGACGAGTACAATACCAAACGAACAGGAACTGGTAATTGATTACAATCATGATAATTTATATGGAGATAATACAAAAATCAGTTATATGCATCTCGAAAAAGGTCTTCTTCTCTTCGTGTATTTACACGAAACAAGTTCTATTCTAAAGACCAACGCTCGCATTTACAAAAAACTATGGACTGGTCAGATATGTTATCATTCTATTGTTCCAAACAACTTTCACGATTCATATTTCTGTTCATTTGATCACTCTGAAGCGTATAAACAACCGAATCTATGTAGAAATTGGTATACGCGTAGTTGTACTCAGCTGTCGTGTGAAAATCAGCACTATTTCATACCAACTAAGGCGAAACGTTACATGAACAATGAAACAGACTTAGCTGTGTGGGATCTGATGCGTTTCATTCGTCAATTCTTTCGTCATTTTAAGCAATCAGTCATAGACAAGGAAGATCTTGAGATTTTATACCGTGAAATCATTTTGATTATGGTCTGTCTCATCAATTGTGCATATCAAAACATCGATCATCTAGCTTTGTTTCTACCTCAGCCAATAGTCAATCAAATGAATCGAAGTTTTCAACAGGAACTCTTAGAAGATAGTACATGTCATATACCTAAGATATTCTTGACGCCAGAGAACATCAAGTTTAATAGTAAATGGTATACTCAATTAACACGTCGAGTTGGTGTTAACTTTTATAAAATATCACCTGAACTTATCAAGTATCTGTCCCGTTGTTTGAATAAGTACCATACTGAACGATTTGAACGTTAAATCCGTTCTTTTCTTTGTATATAACGAATCGTTTACGAATGTTTGACATCAAAAAAGGAACAATCACGCTTCTATGTATAACATGAAAGTTCTTGTATGTTTTCAATGAGAATCAAAACTTAATAACATCTAGGATGAACTCAATCATAAATCAGTACGATTGTAATTCAAGAGTTCTTCGGCAGTAAGTTGAGCATCATCTTCGTTTTTCATTAATTGATCGATTCCATGATCTAACAATGACTGAGCTGTTGTAGCTAAACATGCATTATATTTATCTATCGAAGCAAGACCAGGATGAACGATCTCATTCAATATTCTAAATGGAAATGTTTAGTTGTTTAATCCTCGCTAAACGAATAACTCACTGCGATAGTTGTCGATTAATCTGTTGTATTTTATCATTTGACTTGCTATACGAACTTGTTAGCGCCTGCAATCGTTTCAGCTTTTCTATATTGAATTCAGATACTGGCTGCTGCTTGACCTCATCCGCAAAGTGATCGAGTCGTACTCGGATCTCTTCTAGTTCTGAGATAGTCTGATTGATTTTCTCTTCCATCAATGGTACTTCTTCGTTCATGATTCGTGCTAAATTTCTTGACAGTACGGTCATGTTATGAACTATTGATGTTGTCAAACACGTTTGATTAATAACATCTTTGTAATCCTGAGTGTAGAAATGGAACGAAATGTTGTATAATATAAACTTCGATTTGATAGGACAATTACCTGCATAGTGGAGTATTTTTCAGTGATTTTGACAATCATCTTTTGCATTTGACGAGACGTACGGTGAAGCATTGGCAGATCATGATCACGTATTTCTCGATAAGTGTCTTCATAGATCACCTGGGGTATGAGTGCCAGAATCGATTCTTTGGTTATTTCCACAGCTAGATTTGAGTTCGTAACAAGCAGTGCGAAGAGAATAAGATGATGATGCCAGTTGCAAAACATTTTATTGAAAGAAGACGATTAATGATTAGTTATATTTATACAAGCATGTACATGGCCGACGACGGACACAGCGGGTGACGTCGAAAGATAATTATTTATTTTCTTATTGCAACGGCGATGGAACGAAAAAAATGGACGACAGAAGAAATATATTATATGAACTTTGAAACGAATGAAAGAAAAATGAATTCGTGTTGAGATACTCTTCTAATCGTCCACCTAATGTTAAAATTAGAAAACAATCTTTATGGTATTACTTAACACAAGGTAGCGCTTACAAATGAAAAATAAGTGAGAATCGATGGTTTATCACACGTGGAGAAAGGCGAAAAAAAAGCTAATCTATTGAAAAGGGTGATGCTATTGAATATAAAGAAAAGAAAATGCTTACAGGTTTTTCGTTTAGAAAAGAATTAGTAGTACCGACGTTTGGCAACGAGTTTGACGCTTTTCTATTATTTTTTTTATGTTCTTCATAATGATGAAGAAAAAGAACAGTTTCATTTGAAAAAAGTCATCCTACGCCGTTTCGATTATACCTACAGTGATCGAAAAATGGATATAATTCGGTTGATTTCGTTTCTTTTTCGCCGATTTATGCAAAAACAGAAGCAACACAAACACGTATTTAGCCGTTCTTAAGTTTCGGCGTGCAACTCATTTCTTCATTGATAAAAAAATTTACTTTACTTTTTTGTCGAATATTCAACGTTTTGACAAATGGCTGCAAAAACCAAGATTGTTCGCACCGAATCACTCTCGACAGATCGTGTTGATGGGTGCGTTGACGACGATATTATAACATGTCCGATATGTATGAATATTATTTGGAAACCAGTAACTTGTCAAGTTTGTGAGAATTCATTCTGTTTAAAATGTATTCGCTTGTGGCTTCTTGAGAAACCAAATGTGTGTCCATTTCGCTGTCAATTTCAAGAGAGAAAACCGTCTCCGATTCTTATGAAATTATTATCTAGGTTGAAATTAACTTGCCAATATAAACCAAATGGCTGTATGCTTCTGATACCTTATGAAAGTTTGGAGAAACATGAATTATCGGAATGTTTGTTTCGATTAACACAATGTTCAGAGTGTTCGAAAGAAATGTTTTACAATGAACTCGAAAACCATCAAAATAATGATTGTTCACCGAAAGAATTGACATGTCTGAAGTGTAACAGTGTTTATTATCGGAAAGATGGACATGAAACTATCGATTGTTTGAAGAAACAAAAGGAAAAGATCCATGAAATAGCCCATTCGTATGATATCAAGGATTCGGCACAAAAATCTCGATTTTGCCAAAAAATTGTTGAGTTATATAAAAGACAAGAAGCAAATCGAGATTACGCACAACGAAACCAATCGCACGGTGAAGAACACGACTGTAAGCAGAGAAGATTTACACGGTATAAAAAGATTGTTTTTCAATTAAGGGACACCATCTGCTCCGGTTTACACACCTTCATCACCTGCGCACCCTCAGGCAACATCGCCGAATGTTGTTGATCCAATCAGTAGTAAGCCATCTCAACTCTCTTCAGAAATATTCATTTCTACATTCTAGCACCATTACGACTTTCTTCGGTGAATTTTTCCTTAATTCATCAGAAACATAAGGACGGTGCGCATATTCCCAATGGTTACGCTGGTTTCAATTGGGAAAATATCTACTATATGTTCGAACAACATGTGCGTGAGAATATACAATTACGGGGATTTCTCAACGCGTACAATGATTCGAGATGCTGTGTGGCATACAATGGAAGAGGACACGCTATATTGATATACTTACCAAATGCTTCGAACACGTTCGGCATACACTCATTCGAAGCGATGTCAGCTTATCATGATGAGTTTCAATTAAAGGTATCAGGTTACCGTTCAAAAGCATTGTTGGCCGTGAAGAACGTGATATTAAAAAGAGACGAGTTGAATTTGTTTGAAATTAATTGGGATCATATTGATAGATTAGTATTGACACCTGAACGGATATTGGGAACAAATAAACCAGAGACATTTATACTAGCAAATTTAAACTTCGTTTTATAAATTCTGTAATTCTCTTATTTGACAAGAAATGAATAAAGTGAACTGTGCATTATCATTTATGTATATTTTTGGGGGTGTGAATAGCCTGTTGGTCGTAGCTACTAAAGTAGAAGCTGTCTCTAGTCGATCGATTCGAACACGTGACACAAAGCAAGAGAAACGAAAAAATAGTGTTGTCACTGACGATTTTTAAAGGCAGATGTATGGTGCAAGAACACACTTACCTATTGCAGTTTTTTCTTCATTCAATGAATAATTTGGGTATGATCGAAAACGAGATGAATACGATTTGACATAGAGCTGTACTTTGCCTATTCGTTTTTTAAGTCAGCTCTTTTGTCACAAGNCGATCACCTGGCGTATGACTGCCAGAATCGATTCTTTGGTTACTTCCACAGCTAGATTTGACTTCGTAACAAGCAGTGCGAAAAGAATGAGATGAGAACGCCAGTTGCAAAACATTTTATTGGAAGGAAACGATTAAGAATTTGTTATATTTATACAAGCATGTGCATGGCTGACGACGGGCACAGCGGGTAACGTCGAAAGATAACTATTTATTTTCTTATTGCAACGGCGATCGACCGAAAAAAAATGGACGAAAGAAAAAATATATTATATGAACTTTGAAACGAACGAAAGAAAAATGAATTCGTGTTGAGATACTCTTCTAATCGTCCACCTAATGTTAAAATTAGAAAATAATCTTTATGGTATTACTTAACACAAGGTAGCGCTTACAAATGAAAAATAAGTGAGAATCGATGGTTTATCACACGTGGAGAAAGGTGAAAAAAAAAGCTAATCGATTGAAAAGGGTGATGCTATTGAATATAAAGAAAAGAAAATGCTTACAGGTTTTTCGTTTAGAAAAGAATTAGTAGGACCGACGTTTGGCAACGAGTTTGACGCTTTTCTATTATTTTTTTCTATGTTCTTCATAGTGATGAAGAAAAAGAACATTTCATTTGAAAAAAGTCATTCTACGCCGTTTCGATTATACCTACAATGATCGAAAAATGGATATAATTCGATTGATTTCGTTTCTTTTTCACCGATTTATGCAAAAACAGAAGCAACGCAAACACGTATTTAGCCGTTCTTAAGTTTCGGCGTGCAACTCATTTCTTCATTCATAAAAAAATTTACTTTACTTTTTTGTCGAATATTCAACGTTTTGACAAATGGCTGCAAAAACCAAGATTGTTCGCACCGAATCACTATCGACAGATCGTATTGATGGGAACGTTGACGACGATATTATAACATGTCCGATATGTATGAATATTATCTGGAAACCAGTAACTTGTCGAGTTTGTGAGAATTCATTCTGTTTAAAATGTATTCGGTTGTGACTTCATGAGAAGCCAAATACGTGTCCATTTCGCTGCCAATTTCAAGAGAGAAAACCGTCTCCGATTCTTATGAAATTATTATCTAAGTTGAAATTAACTTGTCAATATAAACCAAATGGCTGTATGCTTCTGATACCTTATGAAAGTTTGGAAAAACATGAATTATCGGAATGTTTGTTTCGATTAACACAATGTTCAGAGTGTTCGAAAGAAATGCTTTACAATGAACTCGAAAACCATCAAAGTAATGATTGTTCGCCGAAAGAATTGACATGTCTAAAGTGTAACAGTGTTTATTACCGAAAAGATGGACATGAAACTACCGATTGTTTGAAGAAACAAAAGGAAAAGATCCATGAAATAGCCCATTCGTATGATATCAAGGATTCGGCACGAACATCTCGATGTTGCCAAAAAATTGTTGAGTTATATAAAAGACAAGAAGCAAATTTAGATTACGCACAACGAAACCGATCGCACGGTGAAGAACACGACTGTAAGCAGAGAATATTTACACGGTATAAAAAGGTTGTTTTTCAATTAAGGGACACCATCTGCTCCGGTTTACGAACCTTCATCACCTGCGCACCCTCAGGCGACATCGCCGAATATTGTTGATCCAATCAACAGTAAGCCATCTTAACTCTCTTCAGAAATATTCATTTCTACATTCTAGCACCATTACGACTTTCTTCGGTGAATTTTTCCTTAATTCATCAGAAACATAAGGACGGTGCACATATTCCCAATGGTTACGCCGGTTTCAATTGGGAAAATATCTACTATATGTTCGAACAACATGCGCGTGAGAATATACAATTACGGGGATTTCTCACCGCGTACAATGATTCGAGATGCTGTGTGGCATACAATGGAAGAGGACACGCTATATTGATATACTTACCAAATGCTTCGAACACGTTCGGCATACACTCATTCGAAGCGATGTCAGTTTATCATGATGAGTTTCAATTAAAAGTATCAGGTTACCGTTCAAATGTGTTGTTGGCCGTGAAGAACATAATATTAAAAAGAGGCGAGTTGAATCTGTTTGAAATTAATTGGGATCGTATTGATAGATTAGTATTGACACCTGAACGGATTTTGGGAACAAATAAACCAGAGACATTTATACTAGCAAATTTAAACTTCGTTTTATAAATTCTGTAATTCTTCTATTTGACAAGAAATGAATAAAATGAACTGTGCATCATTATTTATGTATATTTTTGGGGGGAATGAATAACCCGTGAATAATGTTCGTTTGTAGTCGATCGATTCGAACAAGCGACACAAGCAAGAGGAGCGAAAAAATAGTGTTGTCACTGACGATTTTTAAAGGCAGATGTATTGTGCAAAAACACACTTACCTATTGCAGTTTTTCTTCATTCAATGAATAATTTGGGTATGACCGAAAACGAGATCAATAGGATTTGACATAGAGCTGTACTTTGCCTATTCGTTTTTTAAGTCAGCTCTTTTGTCACAAGAGCACGATGTTCGTTTTCGGACTTCATTTCAATTATATTTTCTAAGTATCTTTACATTTACTGATTACTCCTGCTTATATCGATGTCGTAGAAGTTTTCAATTACGCTGATAAAATAAACAATCGTGTTCGTTCTCGAAGGTCGGTATAAAAATGTCTTGTTTCGATGTTCACGGCATACATTTCATTCTTCGTTGTTACAATGCATTTCACTTGTTCTCTTGTCACATTGACTGTTGTTTTTGGGGCTGTGAATCTGAGCCATTTTCGTGGAGGTACCATTCGATGGCAACCTGTCGATGTCAGTGCCGTCAGTAGCAGCACGACTGATATTATTATCGAACAGAGCTATTCATGGAGACGCTCAGCTAACTGGTGTAATGATACTACAATTTTAACTCAAGGTTCCATCGGTGATATAGCCTATTTACGATGTTCGACAACGCCTAGTTGTGGTGGATATACGAATAATCTGTTAACAACCGTTCCGTGCACAGATTATAGTGTCAGTGTAGATGTGTCCAGTGGTCGCAAGTCAAGCATATTAACCCTGAACAGCTCCTCACACCTTGTACTGCAATTTTCTGGGACCGCATGGCTGCCATTAAAGATGGGTGGTACATCTTGGAGTATCAGTACTATGATTAATTTGGAGCTTCGCAAAGACAACGGTCGTCTCAACACGCCTCCTACATCGAGTATCTTGCCCGTAGTAGCAGTACCAATCAACGTTCAGCGTACCATAGTAGTGCCTATGGTTGATGATGACAACGACTACGTCAGATGCCGTTGGGCTGAGAAAAGTCATAATTTCATTTCTTTTCCAAATAATGTTACAATCGATGAATGTGGTGACGTGTGTAGTACAGTACCGAATGCGACACTCGTCGGAGGCAACAATGAAACATCATGTAGATTAACATTTACTGGCACATCAAGTGGCTACTATTTAGCTGCGATACAAATTGAAGATTTCTATAGAAATACGAGTATTACAATAGCACCATTGAGTACAGTGCCGGTACAATTCCTAATCTATGTTTCCAATAATATTTGTCAACCAACTATTATTGGACCATATCCAAATGGTGCCACCGTCCAGGTCAAACGAAATATGAGTATGTCATCTGTAGCCATCGTCGGACAAACTAATTGTGCGAATACAACGATCACGGATTTTCTCAAGATAAGACCGACAGGCATGACAACATCAGCCATTGTCCGAGATCCAAACAATTCCAGTCTCTACTCGATACAATTAGATTGGATTCCGACATTGTTTGGATCACAAACGTTCTGCTGTGCAGCTATTGACAACACTCTAGCACAATCAGAAATGTATTGTAAGTGTTGATGAATGACAAACTTGTTTTCTATTCTTTTTGTAGGTCTGACATTTCAAGTCGTAGACTCTCCGATTACTGCACCCACAGCTACTGGTAAGTTTGTTACAGAACTGTAATAACATTTTTTCTTTATATTTATTTTAGCTAATCAATCTAAAGAACCAAATATTGGTCTGATTGTCGGCTTGTTACTGGCTGGCCTCTCATTGTGCTGTTTATGTTGTTGGTGGTTGTGCTTTAAATGGCTTTGTCCATTCCGTGGACGGTAAGATTAAATATTGAGATCGTATAACTACAGCAAATGTATTTGTACTTATATCAGTGATCCTTGTGCTTGGATTCGACGACATATATTTCAACGCGACGCATACTTGAAAAAGCAGCTTCCCAAAAATCGATCAAACTTTGTTCCAACATCAGCATCATCATTGTCGAAAATGACTGCCACCAGTAGCGCCTATGACCGTGGCAATACGATCAGCACTGGAAAAACGACCCGTTTGTCCAATGATCTAGCAGAATTAGGACGTCGATATGCTAACAACTCTTTGACAACTTTAAAACAACCGATTAAACATATTCGAACGAGTATTGAATTGATAAGAAAAGCATGTCAGAAAAACCAACAGCCAGTGGAAGAATTCGTAATGAAACAATATTCATCATTAAGCAATTCTGACAGTACTGTTCATGTTCAGCGTGTAAATTCAGTCCGAAAAGATGTTCAGCAAACGTACCAAGTTGCTAAAGAAGAAAGTCATTTGACTCAAAGTTGTAATGCTAGCTCTATTGGTATGCTAACTGATTGCGAAGACCTTGATGACAAACATCAACATCGTCAGCGAAAACATACTAATCAGCATAGAGTGAAAACTGTCACCGTTACGAAAGTGTCCTGTCGTAAAAAATCTGCTGTTCCATCTATATCCTGTTAAGACGTTAATAGATTGTTAAACCAATCTTTCATTTTTATTTAAATTAATACGGTATCGTAGCAGAAGAGAAAATAATCAACGATCAATTGTAGTGCATATTTCCATTTGTGTACCTTGTGCTCTCCCTCTATGTTTTCAAGGAAAAGAGAAATATTTTTCTGGTTTTTATTTCATCGTTCATAAAAAAGAACACATTTGAATATATACAATTTACATTTCTAGTGTTTATCTGCGTCATTCTCTAGCTAATATAGTGTTGTCGAATAGCAGCAGGAACACCAGTGTATGGTTGAAAGTGAAGTGCATCTAATGGAGTGAAATCAACTTCTCGTTCAACACCAAGGTGTCCATTCCATGGATTAACATACATTGCACTGTCTTGTGTATATATGCCATAGCCATAGTTACCAAAGCCAATGGTGTGATAGTCACCATTCCAGTTGTTACTGACAAGAGTTGTTCGTCCGAGCATTTTTGAGTAGATGAGTTTGAGAAAATGATAAGGTATAGAAGAATGAATGAATATGAGAAAGGCTTGTGTGATATTTATACTCATACACGATGCAGCAGATTTACGTAAGCATACTACTTGCACCCTCGCCAAAGAAGTCAACTAACGTAAGGTAAATTACGTATGCAACGTCATGTGCGTCAACGTCATCAGTGACGTATTTTACCTATTCTTTGATAAGAAAGGGTAAAAGTAAACAGGTCAACGATCTTTTCCAAGTTTAGAATTAATATTCATGAGCATGAAACTGGATTTATCTTTAACTAGAAGAGCAGTTATTTATAAAACAAAAAATGTGACCGTCAGCAAATGGTAGAAGGAAAAATCAGTTATGCAATCTACTGGAAAATATTCTCGATTTACCTTTGACAGTGAGTATCCTGCTCACGTTTATTTTTATCCGTTCTCATCAAACAATAAATCCAATGCGTCAACGATGACGCATATAAAGATATTCAACATAAC